CTTACCAAGAATCAAATCCTGTGGCCTTTACTCCAAAACAAGTTTTCCTATATTTAACCCACAAAGAATTTTAAAACTATGATTTATTTAAACCAATACTTTCCAAATGGAGTAAGGTAAGACTATCCATCAGTAGATGACTGACATGGCAAATCTCAAGTTCCAAATAATTTTAAGTGTTCCAATTAATAAAAAAAAAGGTTATCATGGCAAATTCTTACTTTTCCTCCAATATTACAGCCCCACAAAGCAAAATAAAGCAAAATAAAAAACCCCACACACATGCAAAAAAAACCCCCAACAACCAAAAAATGCCCTTAAAGTATGAACAACCTCAGTGTAAGAACTGTGTAACCTTTCCTTTTCCAACCTTAGTCACTTCCCATTATTTCTTTTTCACTTTTCCTGTCTCACTACTATTAATAACCATGCTATTTGTTTTGTATGCCAAAATACTCAATCATTGGTTCTGTTCTCATATGAAGAATTATGATGTTAAAATTATAATTAATTTTGAAAATAGCACCAAGAAACGCACTAAAAGATGATTTGAACGTTAAAAAATTATAAACTTGCTGCTTTGACCCATTTCAGTTCCTTTTCAAATGTCTGAGTAAAATAGCTGAAAATGTAACAAACTGATCACTGACCACTAGGTGGGGAAACAATACAATTTAAAATGGAGTATAACTTCAGCCTCAACTACTTTATTTTCAAAGTTATTTATAATTTCTCCAATCTTTTATACTCTCAAGATATTTTACCCGAATGATGTAATTGCAAGTTATGTTTGGGAAGAGTTTTAGAAGTAGGCAGAACAGGCTGTAGGCAACAAAGGCCAACCTACCTTCTGAAATTCCTTTCTTGAACCCAATTAGAGATTCTACTCTATGCCCTAGAGAACTGTAAACCTTATCAGTCATTCCTTCGGGAAGCCAATCCCTTCCTGATCACAGCTGCTCAAGTGCTTAGTTCCTGGAATTCTTCCCTCTCTCCTCCTTCCTCATTTTTTTCTCTTCACTGAATAGTTCCCATCATCATACAAACATGTTGTTATCTCCATCTTTAAAAAATTATCTTGATCCCATTTTTCCCACCAGTGACCGCCCCATTTCTTTGCTTCCCTTTTCTCCACGAAAGGGTTGTCTATACTTGTTCTTTCCAGTTTCTCCCCTTTCACTCTCCTTTGAAACAATTCTAATCAGGCTTGCATCCCCACCATTCCTGAAAACACTGACCTCCACAGTACTCGCTTATTTGGCCTTTAGCAGCATGTGACACCGTTGCTCATGGCCTCCTCCTTGGGTGCTTCCTTTACTGGGCTTCCATGACACCTCCTTTACTGGTTGTTCCTTTTTATTCTCCTATGCCCCTTCCTCTTCTCCCTGGCCTCATAGAGTAACAGTGCCCCAGGGCTTGGTTCTCTATACTCCCATCCTTGATCTCTTAACCAGTTTAAGTATGGAATATGTTCCTATGACTCTCAAATCTATATTTGTAACTCCAAACTCTCTCACAAACACTCCACTTCTTATAGGCAGAGAAGGGATTTTTTTTCGACTTATGCTTTGTAAAAATCCTCTTAATAGCTATGCTGAGAAGAGCTAGCCGGTCTGAACATTTCCACTTGGATGTTTAAGAGATGTCACAAACTTAACATAGCCACGAACTCCTGATATTCCCCACTCTCAAAACTTGCTCATCCTTGTTGAACAAAATATAGGAGCTGTTGTTTTGGACTAAACTTCTGCACGAGGCCCTAACAGACCAGACTAAAAATGAAAATGGAGTCAACCATGTTCATCAAACTCAAACTGAGTGTGCTATCTGGCTGACTGAGAAGTCAGGAGAGATAGATAATAGTTGTTTCCCAAACAGGCCAGTCTCAGTGAAGTTCCCTCTGTTTTTGTTGTTGTTGTTGTTGTTGCTGTTGTTTGAGTTGGAGTCTCACTCTGTCGTCCAGGTTGGAGTGCAGTGGCACACTCATGGCCACCCCAGTGTTCACCTGCTGGACTCCGGTGATCCTTCCACCTCAGACTTCCAGGTAGCCAGAATCACAGGCATGTGCTACCATGCCCGGCTAATTTTTTTTTTTATTTATTGTAGAGACAAGGTCTCGCCAAGTTGCCCAGATTGGTCTCAAACCTGTGGGCTCAAGCAATCCACTCACCTCTACCTCACAAAGTGCTGGGCCTCCCTCTGTTTTAATATTTACAACAAAGAGTGACGTGAAGTAACCTGATATTAACCAATCAGCTATCTTTCTATTGTTCTGCCTCCCTGCTCCTGCCTTACCAGGAAATTATCTTTAAAGTGACCAATTTGCTTTTTGTTCTCTGTTTCTGCTTTCTTTTGTCCTTTTACTGTTGATAAAGCTAAGCCCCTCTGCTGAACTCATTGGAACACTTACTCTATTTTATAGGATGAAGTGTTGGCCAATTCTAGAATTGCAAATAAAGGCAGTTGAGATCTTTAAACCACATTTATTGTTCTAATTTTGTCTTTTGATACCATCAGGCTCCCTGCAATGATGCTTGAGATGATGGAAGCATCATCCTTATAGTTGTTCAGTCCCAAAACCTTGGAGTCCTCCATTCTTGATCCTCATTTTCTTTCATACCTTAAATCTGAATTCTGTAGTCTCTACCTTAAATATATCTGGACACATCTCGCTACCTCCACTGCTACCATCCTGGTAGAGCCACCTCCATACCTTGCCTGCATTTCTTCAATATCTGCCACACGGGTTTCCCTGCTTTGACATTTGTCTACCTACTGTCTCTTCTCAGCATAGCTATTAATGTGATTTTTATAAAGCATAAGTCAGAAAACACCACTGCTCTGCTCTGACTCTTTCAAGGGTTCTCATTTTACTTAGGATAAGAACCTCTATCTCTGTCATAGCCCACCATGCTCCTTTTTCCCCTTGTACTACTCTCTACTCCAGCCCCAGTTACCCCTTTACAACTTCTTCAACATTTTAGGCTCGGGTTCCACTGTTCTCTCTGCCTGCAACAGTCTTCCTCGTCTGGTTGACAGAGAGAGCAAGTGGGAAATACCCATTATATGTTTTGAGGACTTGGTGGTGTGAGAAGCACAGTAACACCTATAACTTTCACAATTCTACCTAAAGACTACCCTGTGCATTTCCCCTTCATATGAAATGTAAGTTTTTGAACCTGAGTATCATGATCCACTTTGCTTTCATTTCCTCTGATTTCTAGCTTCTCCTACTTGGGGAAAATTTTCTAACCCAGATATTTCTTCATTTTAGAATTTACTTGAGCTCTCTGATGGGAGCCTGAAAGTCTTTCACTATATATCACATTTTCCCTTTTGCAAACAATTAGCTGGATGTCATAGAAGACTGGTATCTTTAAATTGGCATTCATAAACTCAAATGCCAGGAAGGGTGTGAAGTTAACATAAATGCACAAAGCAGACCATATATAGGATAATAACCACTAAATTGCTTTAATGCCTATCTTTAAAGCCCTAGGAAAGCACAATACAGTGAAAAATAGTAGTGACTATCCATGACAAATACGTTTTCAATCCCTGCTCTAAATTGTAATCATCAAGCATTTAAGGGAAGCTGTCAATCTGATATTGTTAACAGTTTCTATTACATGGATTATGGATATTAAGTACTCTTATTGGAGAGAACATCAGTCTGGTATGGGAGCTGAAGGAAAACCAAACTGTACTAAATATGTTGAGATACCACTTATTTGTGGTAAAGGAGAATCATGTGGCCGGACTTAGTGGCTCACTAAGCACTTTGGGAGGCACTCTGGGAGGCAAAGGCAAGAGGATTACCTGAGTCCAGGTATTCGAGATCAGCCTGAACAACTTGGTAAGACCTCACTTCTACAATAAATCACAAAAACTAGCTGGGCATGGTGGCGTGCATCTGTAGTTTCAGCTACTTGAAGGCTGAGGCAGAAGGATCACCTAAGCCCAGTAAGTTGAGACTGCAGTGGCCATGAACATACCACGGCACTCCAGCCTGGATGACAAGAGTGAGACTCCAACTCAAAAAAACAAAATAGGGAGAAACATGTAAAGCAATTTTCTAAAAGAGAAAAGGGAATCTCTAGTCTGTTTTGCCAGACGGATCTATGCTTGCTATTGTTCTGAATATTTCATTTTAGAACATTTCATTCTAGTCCAGTCTTCCACTTGCTTTTTCCTCAGCCAACCATTCTGGTAAATCATGGATAAAGAGCCCATGCATAGCAACTCATATAGTTCTGACATTTCTAAGAAGCATCATCTAAGAAAGTTTAAGCAAAACTAGGTTTGAATAGAAGTATTCTAGATTTTTAACACCCAGCCAAAAGTTCAGAAGGATGAGAGAAATCCTGTATTTTTTATTTAAAGGAGGCTGTTTAGCATAGTCATTTAAAGCACACATTGACTTTGGATTCAGACTGACATAAATTCAAATTTCTATTCTAAACTATTATGTGATCTTGAAGAAGTTACTTGGCCTCTTTGGAGAGATAAAGTTCCATTTTCTAACATCTGTAAAATCATGATGATACTACCCATTCTATAAGGTTATGGAAATCGTCTGTATAAAATGCCTAGCACATCATTCGCAGTCAGTAAAATATGGTGACAGTGGTAGTGGTGGAGGTGATGGCGATGATAACAATGGTGGTGGCAGTAGTGATGGTGACTATAGTGGTGGTGATGGTGATGGTGGTGTGCTGACCTCAAGAAAGCTTCAGAACTTCTTAAAAGACAGTGGAAATTTCCTTCAAATGAACTCTTAAGAGAAAACACAACATTAAACAGATAAACAAGAATTGTTCAGACTTACAGGGGTTCTAGGGATATGAGAACTACCTGCCCTGCCAGCCCATCACCCTGCCAGCTGCCCACTTCTATGGCCCCAGAAGTTTACCATGGAATCTTCAGCACTCAGTCAAGCATAGTTTGAAAACCTGTGGCAAGAGATTGGTAAAGAAATGTCAGGATCATCGTTTGCTTACTTTAGGTCCAATGGTGGTTTAATGTTTCTGGGAGGTAGACTTGGGACCGGTGGTTGTGTTGGGTGAGATGCTGGCAATGGTGGTTGGCTGGTGGGATGGGATGGAGGAGGTGGTGGCGGGGAAGTTGTTGATGTCTGGCCTTTGTTGGTACCTAAGAAGCAAAGCAAATAATACCACGGATTAAGACTAATCTTCAAATAGAAGATTGTTAAGTGCAACCATAGTTGACTACACATAGAAGAATTTAGCAAAAATGACAATTGGTTATATTAAATTTTCTTTTCTTTCTTTTTTTTTTTTTTTTTTGAGTCAGAGTCTCACTCCACTGCCCAGGCTGGAATGCAGTAGCACGCTCACGGCCACCCTAGCGTCAACCCGCTGGGCTCAGGTGATCCTTCCACCTCAACCTTCCAAGTAGCTGGAACTACAGGCACATGCTACCATGCCTGGCTAATTATTTATTTATTGTAGAGACAAGGTCTCGCCAAGTTACTTGGACTGGTCTCGAAACCGTGGGGGAATTTTCAATAAAGAGTATGTTTATTTTATTATTGTTTCTACACTGTGTGGTATGCATCTTTTATATCAATAAAATGTATTGGGCAGGTTATGATGACTCATGTCTGTAATTCCAGCACTTTGGTAGGCCAAGATGGGGATTGCTTGAATCTAGAAGTTTGATACCAACCTAGGCAACATGGTAAGACCTTGTCTCTACAAAAAACAAACTAGCCGGGCATGATGACATGTGCCTGTAGTCCCAGCTACTTGGGAGGCTGAGGTGGAAGGATCACCTGAGCCCAGGAGGTCAAGGCTGTAGTGAGCCATGGTTGTGCCACTGCATTCCCACCTGGGTGACAGAGCAAGAGCCTGATTCAAAAAACGTAGCCAGGCACTCCTGACTTATGACCCTCCCTGCCAGGTGCAATTCTCACAGGAATAGATCTTCTTTTTTGCAGCTATTTTTGGGAGGTTGAGGTAGAGAGAATTAGTTCTCCTACAAATCTTATAAATAAAAAATTCCAACTCAATAAACTTATGCTATAAGTGGTCAGTTCATTTTTGTCATAAGTAACATTAAATTTTTTTGTTATATAGGACTTATTACTTTTTCTTGAATCCTATCAACCATTCCTTTAATATATAATACCTATCACTAGATTTATGTTTAAGAAGGCCTTCCTCAACCTGAGAACAGATAATTGTTAACAATATATTTTCTCCTCCTTCTCTTTGTCTTCATATTTTTACATTTGATTCTTTAAATCTATTAGTAATTTATTTAGGAGCTTGGTGGTTGTCATTGCTAGATCATTTAGCAAATGCCCCAGTACTTGTCTAACAAGCTATTACTTACTGATTTGACATGTTTCTTTTATCATAGAATAAACATTAAACATTCTAGTGAATTTGACAGATGCAAATGGCATCTAGTTATTTTAATTCATAAATAATATGGTTCAGTAGATTCATAAGTGATTTAAAAGTTGTACCCAAAGAGAATATATCTCTATGAGTGTATATTAATAACTACTGTCCAAATAGATTATTAACCATTTGCAGTTTATCTCTTCACAGAAAAGATTTTTCAAGCAGGAGGTATGACCCTGTGATAATGATCACTTAGAGGTGAGAAATTATAGACATAATTTGGGGAATGATGAATCCTTTGAACTGGAGACACTGACAAATGACTGACCCCAAACCAGGTTCATTTCTGCCATTATGTAGGTTCATGAGACCTTCTGATGAGGCATCTGGGAAGGCACCTGCTGCTCTGCTCACCTGACATCTATTTTCCTTTCCTTGGTTATAATAACTTGAGCAGTCTAGAAAGGGGTGCACTTGCTTTTTCACTGGACGTGGACTAGAAAGGGGTTTTTCCTAAGGAGCTGGCAGCTGTCTTGCCACCACCAGGGCAGGGCTCGCTTGAGAGTGCAACAAAACTAGAGTGCAGCACAGTGAGAGATGGGCAGGGACTGGATGAATTTTAAATAAAAATTACCTTTGGAAAATTGTCAAACAATTTGAAAAGCTTAGTGAGGCTTGTTCAAGCGTTCTCTTCCTCATCAAGCTTGAGAGAACATATGCTAAAGTACTCCTATGGTGTATTCATAGGCAACAATAAAATATTTTGCTTTGAAAAATTTGTGGTCACTTTCAAGTGTTGCAAGGAGTACTTTTGCATGCATACCAAATAAGTCTAAGGGAATGTGCTTTAGTCTTTCTGGAGGAAGAAAATAGACTTACCTTAATGTAATAGTGTTGACTCTAAAATCTTGGTCTAGACTTTATAAAGTACACCAAAATACAATTAGTAATATTAGGATTCTAAAAAGTAAAAATATGCATTTTTTTCTGATGGAAGTGGATGCATATTGAATTAAAGCAAAATGAGTAAAGAAAAAATAGAAACAATAAATCTATAGGACATATCTAGGAGTAATGATATTAAATGACTAATTAATCACATTTTTTGCCAGGCACTATACTAAAGCACTTTACATCTGTAATCTTATTTATTCTTTGCATAACAGTCCTATAGGGGAGGGGATATGTTATTATCTAGTTTCCATTTGATAGTTCAGAAGACTACCCAAATTCAGGTAGTTAGCTCAAACTCAGCCAGAACTGGAATTTGAACCCTTGTTAATTTTGTATGCTATCTATGCCCTTTCTGCTGTTTCTTATGGCAGTAAAATGGAAATTGTTAGTAAGTTCAAATAGACACATTAACAAGCTTTCCTGTGATCTGGATGTAAGTCCAGCTTTTTTTTATTTGTATCTTTCCTCTTAATGTGATTTTATGAGTGTTTTCAGTTTAATGCAGGACAGAACTGATTCTAGAGGCTGTAAAGTTCACATCTATGAGTATTTGGGATGCTACATTTAGATGCCTCAGAATTTGATTGTAGAAGCTATATAGCAGAAATGTAGATATCCAGACTAGTGGGAAATGAGCTCCTGGAGATAAATGATTGATGTAAGCTGGCAGGAAGAGAAATCCCCAATAATTGGAATTGGGGAATTTGAAACAAAATCATAAAAGGACCTAGAAGATGTGAAATACAGAGAAAGAACACGTTCAGACTTAGTTGGCATCAGGAATTAGGGATATAAAATTTCAGACTTAACACTTTAAACTCTGATCTACTTATGCACCTCCTCTTCCAAAGCTTGTGGGGGAGGTGGTTGCCTAGGTAGTCTGCAGTTTGAAAGTACTGAAAAGACCTTGTGGAATTCCTTCCTCAAAGAATGACAGGATTCTGCAATGACAGGATATGGACCCTTGCAGCAGTGGGAAGAGCTGGTCTACAGGACAGTGCAGGATGGTTCAGCAGCAGTGGGTGAATTCGACGATTTTGCAGTCTACTCACCACTCTCATCCTGAGACAGACTAAGAAACTGTGCTCTGGGCATTTTAATAGGAGACCAAGCCTTCAAGAAGGAGACAATGGGCATACCGCTAATAAGTGGGAGCCTGAGCAACTAATGGCAAAATTAAGAAGAACTGACTATATCTGTATTAAGGAACAGTTCGTACTGGGTATAGAAAACATAGGGACGGTTGGGAAGGAAGTGGAGAGAAACTACAACATTTTCGAGAGCATGAAAACAACTCTCAAGAAATCTATGAAGGTAACGACTCCCTATTCAAACTGTTCATCCTCTTTAATTTTGGAAGTTCAGAAAAGACCTTGCACAAGTCCTGTACCCCCTACTCAGGCGTGCCCAGATGCATGGAACACCAGGGTCACTTTATCAGGAGGAAATGACTAGGAAAAGCTCTCCATGGGTCAGAGGGTACCCAGTGGTTATCTGGTTCTGACCCACAGCTGGCTCTGGGTTCACTGAAACACAGGTTACCCAAAGTGCTGAGATTTTGTCAGGATCTAAAACTGTCTAAACCAAAAAACAGAACTGAGTGGAAGGAAAGAAGGAACAAGGAGAGAAGAGGTGGGAATAAATAGAGAAGGCACAATGAGGGTGGTGGTATACTCACAGGAAATGGAAATTGTATTATTTACAAATTTTGCATTTTTTTTTTTTTTTTGAGTTGGAGTCTCACTCTGTCTCCCAGACTAGAGTGTAGTGGCTGCTCCCGGTCACTGCAGCCTCGACCTGCTGGGCTCTGGCGATCCTTCCATCTCAGTCTTCCAAGGAGCTGGAACTACAGGCGCGCACTACCACTCTCGGCTAATTTTTTGATCTTTATTGTAGAGATGAGGTCTTGCCAAGTTACCCAGGCGGGTCTCGAACCCGCAGGCTCAGGCAATACACTCACCTCCGCCTCCCAAAGTGCTGGGATTACAGGCTGAGCCACTGAGCCCGGCCCAATCTTTGCATTTTACATTCTCTACCAATCCAAACTGTTAGTTCTAGATATTGTCACAATATTCTTGCAATACAATGATCTATGAGGACTCAAAACGAAAAGCATGGATTCTGATATTTGTGACTCTTGACTAAGAAGGTGCCTATAGCCTTCGTGTCTTGAGGAGGCTCAGGAACATCTGGAGATCTGGTTCTTGATTTCCTTTTTAATCTATGGATTCCTTTACAAAATCAAAGACATTTCACCATATTTCTCCCAATTGATAAAAGACTCTGACCTAGACCAGGCATTTCTTTCTCCTTCCTTCCTTTTTTTTTTTTTTTTTTTTTGACAGAGTCTCATTCTATCATCCAGGCTAAAGTTCAGTGGTGCAAGAATAGGCTCACTGCAGTCTCAATTTCCTGGGTTCAAGTGATCCTCCCACCTCAGCCTCTCAAGTAGCTGGGATTATAGATGTGTGACCAGCCTGGTTGATTTTTTATTTTTTTTTGTAGAGATGAAGTCTTGCTATGTTGTTCAAGTGACAAATTTTGAACTCCTGGCCTCAAGTGATCATCCTGCCTGGCTCTCCCAAAGTGCTGGGATTACAAGCATGAACCACTCTGTCAGTCCAAGACCAAGCATTTAAAAAAAAATTGTTTTTTGGTGGAGGATGTCTTAGAACTGGGCCAGACATTAGAAAACTTTGAGTCTTACCACCAGTTATATTACCAAAGAGCCATTTGTCTTCGGAAAATCAGTTAACCTCCATAAAATTTTGTTTTTCCATCTGTCAAATGGAAGTAATACAATCCCAACTACTTCACAGAAGTTAA